GATATTCTTCAAAGCCCAGAACTCTTCTTAAAAATGCCAACTGATATAAATTACAAAACTATAACGAAATGCCCGCGATTTGTATTTATAAAAGCACTACTACGTACCCTGCAGTACTTTTATTATCATCCGCCAATACTGTCTCCACTTTATACTGTAAAGCTCTACCTGCAACTCGAAAGAAATCAATTTTTTTTTCCATCACGGTACGATCAAATTACTTCGGCACTGTTTTTATTCACTAACCGACCCTTTAGATTGAAGAAATTCCTAAGATACGTAAGAAGAAATTAGAAAACAAATAAAACATACTCACGTTCTCGACAAGACGGCAGATGGCGGCAAATGGCGTCCTGAACGAGATATGGACGACGAGTCGTGCTTGATTGGGCATGCGTGGTAGCATCGAAGTTCGTTTTCCCAACTTCCGGTCGGTGACGTTCACGTTCTCGTCGTCATTGCTAAAGGTCCCTATTTACCCTGACTTCACTAACTCTAGTGGTTGCTCAATCTTATAGAGGAGAAGGTCCAGTAGACTACTACGTTTTAGTTGCTTGGGTTTGCGCGGTAATCCACCGTAGGAAAAAAGATGGCGGCTGTTCATTTTACCACAATACTTTGCGAACCTAACACAGCCTATAAGGCACAAAGAAAGCCATATTTTTACAATATTTGTCCCTGTACTAAGGACATTGTGCAGCCTAGGTTTGAAGATTTTATAACTTTTCTGTACGTTTTAATAAATATTGCTTAAGTTTTCGTACGCTAAGAACTATGGGTAAATGTACCAGTCGCCATCTTTTTTCCTACCAGGCCTTCACACCTGCTGCTTCTACAGGAAGCGATTGAACGATATGGCCTCGAAGTATCTTACTGGTTAGGCCACAGAGTGAACGAATGAGTCGTGTGTTCATGATAATCATTGTGCGCTATGCTGGTCAGGTTTCAAAGCTCTCGTTCTCACGAGTATAGTATTCCCCATGTGATGTAAGGTTACATTCTGAAAGACATTTTTGGAAAGGGTGTCCTAGTCTGTCAGTGCGCGTTTCCAGTCACGTTTTTATTTTTCTTTATTTGTAGATTGATAACCAAATCTTCGCCAGTCAGCTTCCAGTGTTACTCTACCTCTCCCTCCCTGAAAAGGGCTCTAAGGAAGAGACCATAGCCCAACAACAACCAACACTTCTCGTGTCAGCTTCTAAAGAACGAAGCAGACTTCCTAATGTCGAAATATTCAAGGTGAGCACTTTGACAATTACGGTGGTTGTCATCGTCGGCTTACTTTTTAGACTTGAAATACTGATATCGTTAAAACAATTAGATAATGAGCTCTAGATTTCTATAGCGCGCCCTCGTAAACTATCACGCATAGAAATCGAGAGCGAATAATCTAATATTTAAGTTTAAATCTGCTAGTCGTTCAAAACTTACACAATGAGCCAGGTTCCCGTTTTAATTAAATAATGATATAAATAGGTCGCGCCACGCGAGGATAATTGACAATTGTTAGAAGTTCAAATGAAACGTAAATTCATTTAATTATCTTTCCGGGCATTGCTTTGACTACCAAATTTCTAAATCCTCTTCACAGATACTTTGAAAACGCAAAGAAGACGCGGCCATTTTGTTAACTGCAAGCTGCTAGGCTACTCAGTATCTACAACAGTACAGATAATGATTAACGTAGCCAATAACAGAACGACATTCGTTCGCTGGTAGATTTATACTAAGTAAGAATACATCTTGCTTATCTTGGTAACTCTTGGAGGCACGCAGACGTTTTGGAAGAGAGAAGACGGGTTGTAAATGTTGCTGTCAATGTCTTTTCTGATCGTTACAGACGCTGGACGTGTCCCTGCGTAAAATGACTCTCCAGATTGAGGAATTATTGCTGTTGAAGCTGCTTCAGTTCTTTGGTTATGTACAGCAGGATGATGACATCACGGCTGCAAACCAAGAGGACGACGAGTGTCTTTATGCCACACAAAGGTTTCACTATTTCTATCTTTCGTCTTAGCGTCCTATGGGCAGAATCCAAATTTAAGTTCGTTCCAAGTACTTAGTGTGTTTTTTAGCTAGCTACTGACAACTGTAAAGTTATGAACGTAAAAAGCCCTAGATACCTTCGAATGTAGCCGCCTTTTGCTATCGCTTCTTTCGAAAAGTTGCCGATTTCAAGTTAGCTAAAGCGTGGCCCATACGTGGATGAGTGACGATGATGAAAAAGAGTAATAAAATAATAATACTATGCAGAAGGAATCAGTCTATATTTTGTATAAGATTTGTTTATATTCTGTGTAGGAAGGTAAAAAAAGTATATGGCCCGCAGCAAGGATTTTATTTACATTAGTCCTTGTAAACCCCCATTGGGTCAATTAAGATTTTTTTTTTTTCTCATATCCGAATAGAGTAATATATTGTCTTTGGAATAAGTACCATCTTAACAAACATCAGGCCAGTTTGGTACAGCTTGTTATACATGTATTTGCTACTTACAGTGGCGCATACAGACCTTGAGCTAAGGAGGAGTAGGGGGGAGGTTGAGGTGGAGGTTGTTTGCCCTGCAGGCTTTTTTTCCTTTTGTGAATTTTTTTTTTACCCTATATAAGGGTGTGGGTGGGACCCTCCGGGCCCCTCCTGTCCCCTCCCATAGATCCGCCTCTGATTTACGTTTACTGAATTCGCTACAATCAGACCCGTCGTAACTTTCGGAGAGGAGGGTGAGGGAGGGATCTCTACCTTCGGGATTTGTTCACATTTGTGCAAGTTATTACATTCGGAACTCAACAGTGAGACAAATTGTTAACATCCAGATTACTTTTTAGGCCGACATTGCCAAGCTCATCAGGTTCATCAAAGCGCTATTACTTTGAGCACCTTCAGCTGAACTCCACTCAGCTTAAGTTATCAGTGTCAAGTGCAGGCCGGCTTCCGGAAGATCTTCAGAGTCTCAAAAGCAGCCTTGGTCTTATTCTGGTTAACTTGGAGGATGCTACTATTGACTTAGGTTGGTACACAAACCTGGATATTGGAAAGACTTTGTAGCCACTCTCTTAAATCAATTTAGTGTTATCCCACATGACGAAATGAACCCCAAAACACTCGAAACAAAGTCATGAAGCCGGTGCTAAACACGGACAAAGTTAAGGGTCTAAGTAAAGAAGGGTTTAGTTTGGTTTTGCTCCTATGGAAGTGAGAACCAGTTCTGATTGCATGGGACTTGTTACACATCATTTTTTCAGCCAAGCGAACACATAGTTACCTTTGACATGCTTTATGTTAAAGCCACGTGTGCTAATATTTGCAAAGGTTGAGAAAAGTGGACTGATCTCAAGCTGCTGCTGATGTCTACTTAACCTCATTATGAACAATGTTAAGGGAATTCTCCAATAACCAAAGGCTGACGAATATAAACACGAAAACGTCTGACTGGGAGTAAGGCAAAAATTGAAACCTAGCTATGCGCTGAATCATTTAATTTCGTATCTCTACACACTTATTTCAACGGTTTCTTTTGCTCTTTTTTTATTGTTTCGTAAGTTCAGGAAATAACGTCTTCATTCTGAATTTTATAGCATCACATTATATTCTTCTTTATTGTCACCAAAAAATTGTCCTGGCAGTATGTTTTTGGTATTTCGTGGGTATGTTTACTATCCAAAACATAATTATTTCCCTTTTATGTTGTAGAATCGTTCTCACGGTCTCATCCATTTGACACGATGTCCTCTCACCTGGACTCCATGAGTAAACATTACACTGAGGTACGTTTTGAACTCAGTACCATTAGGTGCAAACCATCGAATTAGTAATTTTCAGTAAATTACTGAATTACAGCCTAGCCGGTTTCTTTAGCTTGTTGTATGACCGTTACCGTGGAATAACATATGACCGGCAAGCCTTTCATAGTAAGTCTTGGGAATGATTAGGAACGTTCAGTAGGTGTATTTAGACTAATCGTGAGAGCCAGTGGAAGACATTGTTACTCTTAAACGTAATGATCTTTATATGGGTTCCTTAATTGAGGGACACTACTTCAAGTTGTCGAATCCATAGAGTCTTTTGGCTCTCTCTTCTGTTCGTTTTGTAACAAAAGTAGTTGATTGTGAAATATTAGTCATTTTTTGGTAACTTATGCTTCACCTATGCGTCACCTTCAGTTTGTGTCCGTGTTAACCGTAAGATCAGCACAGAAATTCTCTTCAGTCCCTTTTACATATTTCCGTAAGTTGTTGTATAGTTTTCTGTTAAGAGAATTTAGTGCTTTGGAAATCAATATTCTCATGTAGTTTTATTAGTTGTACAAAGATAAAGAGAAAAAGGTGAAAGAAAAAAGACACTGCTCAGTGTCACCTCATAGAATTACAGTAATCAATGTGGTTACGTTTAACAGGAAATCCGCAGTCAAGCAGCAGCTATCGTAGGCTCAGTTGATTTCCTCGGTAATCCCATGGGATTGTTAAATGACGTGTCATCTGGCCTGGAAGGACTGGTAAAGAGGGGCAATGTGGGAGGCTTGTTTTTGAACGTGGCTCATGGAGTCTCTGACTCCGCGGCTAAAGTAAGTCTAACAAACTGTTGAATAAGCCTTTCAAAAAAGTGGCCTTCTCCAACCCCAAATCTCAGAAACAAAACTCTTTTCGGTTATGCCCCGATTCCCTCGACGTAATTTTTACCCGTGGGTTTATATTTAGATCGAGGAAACGTTATACAGCTTGGTTTGCATTTTGTCATTGGAGTATCCTCACAGACCTGCAATGTTCTTGTAACCACTGTAGAATTTGTTTCGCCTTCATATCGTTATGTTGGAGGGGGGGGGGGGGGNGGGGGTTGATGGTGTGATATTCTTGAATGCATTTGTAAACTTTTTGACACATAACACCCTTTTAACACATAACATCCTTTTTACTTAAGCCTAAACACTTGAAACGCAAAATCCCTTGCGATGCAAAGCTCCCTCGACGAGCCTCCTGGAAAAGAAGCCCACCGAATATCAAACCGTGGCTTATAATTGGAATTTTATTTGCATTTTCATTTGTTTTGTTTTGTTGTTTTTTTTGCAGATCACAGGCTCCTTGTCTGATGGTTTGTGGAATGCGTCAATGGACAGCAAATTCCAAGAGAGCCGTGACGCGATGAGGGCCGAGAGGTTCAGTAGCTCCAAGGATCACTTTGTGGCTGGTGTCAAGGGCCTGGGTATGGGCCTTGTTGGTGGACTCACCAGTATTGTGACGCAGCCAATTGAGGGCGCGCATAACGCTGGACTGTCAGTAAGTTCACTTTCACGTGCTTGACACGTGTGCCAGTCTGTCAGTTTACTATTGGAGAACAAACCTTAAGATAAATTTTTACCTCCTTGCTAAATGATGAATTTTAGGGAGGCGGTAAATGGCGGAAATGGATGCAGTAATATAAGAAAAGACCGCAACAGTGGATTTCGTGGCTCATCAAGACATGATTCCCTTTTGGTGAATGCCGTTGTTCTTATAGCTTGTATGCTTCAAAACGTTTTAAAATTGTGTGGGGAAAAAATTAATACGCTGTTGATTTTGTCCTGTTTCGGGTTCTACATGCAGTAAAATTTCGGACCATCGACATTAACTAAGATAATTTTAGCCAATTAACTTGTGATAGACCAAACTACTTATGAGTGAAATGTCTCTGAATCAAATCATCAGTCAATGTGTCTTTCATGTGTTTATCAGGTTACAGTCACCATTACTCAGGGCTAACCACAAACAGGATACCCTTAGCATTATTCTCGATAACCAGGATTTTAATCAGGCTTCCTAGACTCAGGATTGCCGTTGAGGGTAACCGAAAAGCTATTTAGGCTTTTTGATTCATCAAATAGGGTAGCTCAACTAGTCGTACTTTACTTTTGGGCTGCGTTAACAATTAAAACAAAACCTTTTAAATACGAGTAAACCGTTAATCTGCTAGGGTTTTTTGCCGCCGTAAAACAAAACTTTGCATCCATTTTCAGGGTTTCATAACTGGTATAGGTAAAGGAATCGTGGGAACAGTTGCCAAGCCCACCGCTGGTGTTCTTGACTTTGCATCTGGTACCGCAGCAGCAGTCCGCGGCCAGGCTACACGCAGCTCCAGGTATCTCCCGCCAAAACAAGCACGCCTGCGAAGGAATTGTTTTGGACCAAGTGGTGCTATCCCAAAGTTCACTTCAACCCACGCTGAGGGCCAGGAAATAATGTTGAAGTTAAATGAAGGAAATTTTAACGAAAAGTAAGGAAATATGTGTTAACAGTTGTTTGGTGTAACAGACTGCAATGATGTCGCTGGTCTTG